ATGCACGCAATAAAGGAGGTATATAGAACCAGTTCATGCCTCGGGAAAGAAAAAATTCGTTCCTGATTAGCCTCTGCTGCCCACTCTTCCTCCCTCCGTGAGTTAGATTTTAGTGTGACTACGAAATCGGCGTGTTTTGCTTGAAAATGCACCCTTACCAAAATATAAAACAAAATAAAACTTGTCTAAGACTGAAAATCGGTAGAGGTAGCCCCCACACTAAAGAATACTTCCAATTTAGATTTTAAAAGTATTACTATATCCCAGTTTCTGCTAAAGTGTCTATTTTTAAAATACACTTCTTAAGATAAAATGCTGCTTCTGCAAATGTAAAGCTTTTTAGAAATAGACAATCAGCAACACTCACCTACTCTCAAAAGTGGAAGTGCACAAATTAACTTTCTTCCAAGTTTCAAAAAGTGAAGAGAGGCTTGTAACAATGGGTATAACATTTTAAAAAATACAGGCAGCTCTCGATAAACCTTAAGAGGCCGAGGATAAGAGAAACAAGACATATTTGGCTTACAGATGCCAATCCATTTTCTTCCCAATTCCAAAGCGCAAAATATTTTCCTGACATTTTCTGGTGGCTACCAAACGTGCTGCAAACCCTGTAACATGGACATCTAGAAAGCGTTCCCTCAAAACCACAGCAGGTGAAAAAAACCCACAGCGAACAACCCACAAGGATCTTGATGCAGAGATTGCTCAGACAATTAGATAAAGAAGTCTTCAAGATAAACTGGGGGGAAGTGTGGCAGAGTAAGAGTTGCCATCTGTAACAAGAAGATAAGCCCTTCAAGACAAATTCTGACCCCAACATGGCAAGGGTTACCTTGTAAGTTGTCACAGGGATGTTTCACATTCGTATTAGAGTCAGAGTTTGCCTGTCCACATACACGCTTATCGCTGGTTTGCAAGGCTCTTGGCAATCCCTATTTTGTCAGGGCAAGAATTTGGCTGGACCTGTCGGTGTTCCTTCTCCTTCCAAGTGATGCACCTTGTGGTGTTCCTCCTCCCTTGAGCGATGCACCTTGCAGCTCTCAGCACAACCGTTACCTGCTTCAAATCCTGGCTTCGCTCAGTGCTGGCAGCCCTGGAGCCACCCATTATGGCTCAAAAGGTTCCGAAACATGGAAAAGAGCAGCTGTGACAAACTGGGCCAAAATCAGCATTACCATTACGGGGATAGGCTTCTTTCCACAGGCATAAACCAGACTGTATAGTAATCCTCTGCTGTGAACCAGAAACTTCACACCAAGTGACGTAAGCACACAGGCATCCAGGAGACGGTTGCGAGCTCCACCGCTGCATCTGATTTTCAAAGGAAATCTAGGAATGGATTTTTCACTTTTATTTGCATTGGCCTCCGGCACCTGAACAAAACACGCTTGGGCTAGGTCTGTCCAATCTTGGCGTTAGACTTACTTAATACATACTTCTCCAAGATGCCAAAATATGCATTATCACATCTTCAATCTGAAACACTCTACATAGTGTGAACTCAGCATTATTAAGAACCTCCAACCCCACATTTCTTAAACAGATTTTGGGGTAGTCCCTGACAAAAACTGTATCTTTAGCAATTATGAGACATATGGTGACCCCTGCTTGATAGTTACTCCAACTGTTAGTGAAGACCTTGTCCCAACTCTCTTTTGTTGGCTTCATCAATGCCAGAGGGACGTGTTACCAGGTAGTGATGGCCTATGTGAGCAGGCCTGGGAAGGACTCCTCTTCCCTAATAAAGTTTTGCTCTGAAGCAGCAAAATTGCATTATCGCTTAACACGACTATGCCACTTCAGATCTACTGAGCATGCCAACCCACACCAAAATGCAGGAAGACAAAACCCCAGCTACGTGAGACGATTTCTATAGGATTGGTTGAACTGGAAAGCTCCAAATTCCAGCTAAGAGGTTGTAACCGAACCATCTGCAGAAAATACAGGCAAGCAAATATACAGACATCAGTAGACGGAGACAAGTGGTATCACGTGGAAGTGAGCAGACACCCTCACTTTTTCTGTGAATACTAGGCAATTAGGACAAAGGTAGTAGTCATATTCATTGGTCAGCATTTAAGTGTAGAGCCCTTCAAGATAAGTTAAAGCAGAACAAAGGAACGTTGCCCATGCTCTTTGTGCTGGAGACAGATATTTTGCTCAGTAACGCAAAGTCAATTGCAAGAGCACATTCAGCCCACAATGAGCAACAGAGAACTGTAATCCCTACCGAGCCAAGACCTCTGGATACTGGTTATCTGGTCCTTCTTCAGCATCAGCTTTTTGTGCCTTCCTAACTGAGAGATGCCACAATGTCAGCAGTCTCCAAGCTCTCCCACCAGGTTCTTAGACCGGAGGTCAACACGATGCTACCTTGGAACTGCAAATCCCACTTTGAGAGCAACATCATCGTTCTTCATGACAATGACAAGCGCTGCCAAGGCCAAGAGCATAGCATCTGTCCATATTAGTCTGAGAACCATTCATCTTCGGCGTTAGTGCTGAACTCCATGGCAGTCAGCTTGTAAGTTCGTACTGGAGAACGTGGTAGTTAGTCTAAACAGTCAAGCAGTAAATGAAAGTTTTGGAAGGTGGAGAGAGAAAACACTCCTATAGCTTTAAGTTTATTAAACCTAGCATGGTTGAAAAGCAAAAGACGAAAAATGTGATATATTTTTGTTTATTATTGCTCTTAAAGGGCTTGGTAGTCAAATATACAAGCTATGATCTATTAAACCAGAAGAAAATAAGATATAAAATCTATGCTCACTTTTCCAATCCAAGCCACCTGCTAATCTTCATTAGTGACATTAACTTCAGCTTAATTTCCAGTCATTTTAATTTATACATACTCTCTGTACGTGTGCACGCACGTGTGTATAAAAACCCCTATTTGAGGAAATAAAATTCAAAGAGAAGAGATTTGTGTTGTTTTGTACTGTGTTATGCATTGCTGTATATTTCAGTTTTCCAAATGGTTATCGATATGTCTGTTTAGAAGAGCAAAATTTAAGTAACTGATGATGTATTTATTATATTTTCAAAAAAGAAAGCATGACCATTAAGTTATGATAAGAAAATCTGAAAAGTTGATTATTCTCCCCTTGATGTACATGCACTAATCCCATGATTCCTAATAGGGAGTTACATGCACTAAGAGGAGAAAAGGATCCCGTAAAGAGAAAGGCTATTAATTCCCTTCTCCTTTAAGCATCTCCCCTCTTCTCAGCATTAAGAGAGGATTTATTTTGTGAAATTTTTGTCATGCCCATTAATATACTGCTCAAGATCTAAGTATAAAACATAGTCAATGGTCAGCCTGCTTTGCAAGCCTCACTCTGCTAAGCCAGTACAATTTATATATACTCAGTATCATCTTCGGGAAGCAAGTATACAGCATTTGTAACACCTTTCTAAGAAGCAAGAATTATAACCATTACTGAATTAGGTAAGGAAAAGAAAAACAATAAAGGAAAAAAAAAAAGAAAAGCCCACTGCCTTTAGTCCTCTGGTTGAAAACCAGGGGAAAGCCAGAGAGTTGTTTTTATCAGCATTTGGAAGTCTAACCATATTTAAAGACAGAGCACAAAAATATCCAGCAAGGAAAACCAGAGTCATGGCTAGGCTCTGTTCTCCCCAATTCCCAAACCGTATTCCAAATTCCACTACCATTAACAACAGTGTTGCATCCCCTATCTTAGGAAAGATTTATTGAGGGGACAAAGATGCCAGACTAACACTGGGGCTATGGGTACAATGATTCAGTGAGGATGAGTCTAACAGGAGACAGAAAATGGAGGTCATCCTTCAAATCCTTTTGTAGAAAAGACCACAAATAAAAATCAAGTGCATGACAGAACAGTGATTAATGACCCCAAGTAAAATATTTTTCTAAGTTACAAAACTGCTCTTCCAGTGTTTGAAAACAGAAAAATCTGTGGGAGGTTACATTCCAACAGTTAGAGTAAATACGAAAAGAAGGTAAATTATTACTCTCTTATCTTGGTTACTAGAGCAAAGATGAAAATAATGACCAGTGCTTTGATAAGATCTGCTCTTTAGAAAAGTGAGATAAATATTCTAGTGACAGCTGGGTTAAAAATACAGACCCCAAGGGTCACCTTCTGCCCTCAGCTGTAGATCTGCAACCCATTTCACCAACTTCTGAGCGTAGCCAAATGCAGATTGTGGCCTTCAGACTTGAACATACAGGTAGTTCCCATTCATTTGCAAATAATTCTCCAGCTATGCATACAGCAGCAATCTACTAAAACCTCAGAATGTGCGTTTGTAAAAAAGGAAAAAGAAAGAAAGAAAAAAAAACCAAAACCAACAGAGACAGGTACAGCTATGATTCTGATCTCTAATTTTCAGTGAAAAAAAAAACACCCCACAAAGGTCAACAAGCAAAACTAAAGATATTTAAAATCCCTGAAGAGACCCCATACTCTTTCTAATGCTTAACAGCACAGCTCACCTTGCAATATACTTCACATAAACATCTAAAGCATGACCAAGTACAAAGTGCAGCACACCCTATCATTACAGCACACAGGGTAAGATCCTGGCCCCACTTAAATCAATGTCAAAACTCTCATTAAAAGTTCAAGATGCCAGTACTTGAAATCTGATTGATAAAGACGTCGCCTTTTCAAATTCTTGAAAATCAAGACATTTTGAAAACTATTGTGCTGCTTTCTGCTGCTGCCTCCCAGTTTACTGAGATCGGTTGGCTAAACTGGACTTTGGTGATGAGAGACGTGAACAGAAATAAAAGGAGAAAATGTCAGGACAATTGAATAAATTTCCTTCTTTGCACAACTTCAAATCCCACAGTCAGTATTGATTCAGAAAACAAAACAAGCCCAAACAGATTCAAGATTATCATACCTGTATGATGTGAAATAGGGTAAACGACACTCAAGACCGAAGTAATATTTTGAAATTAAACAGCCTTGAGCAGTTAGGAGATATGATGAGAATTTTATACTGTTTTAATACTAGTGGATCTGTTCTATGGGATGTGCTGATCAATAACGCACTGCTTCCAAACTCCTCTATCCGTTCTCTCACATTACAGAAGTTTTAAGACGTTGCCTGAAAATAAAAAGTATCAGTGTAACATACAAATAGGATTTCATCTGCAGCCATGACAACACAGCCTTTCCAAAAATTACTCCAACCCAATGAACATTTGTCAACTAATTTAAGAAGGGTTGTTTTTTCCTGGCTCATTAATAAAAAAAAGTTGGAAATCAACAAATATTACGTTGGCTTTAGCAAGAGGAAACATTCAATGGCTCCCGTTATAAAAGAGAGTGTAGTGCTCTTGACAGAAACCAGTGTATCCAGTCATCTGAAGATGCATGTGGCCATGGCCAATGCCCTCTTTTCTCCCCCACCCCCAAGTCCCGCAACAAATCAAGAAAAATTAGTTTCTTCTTCCACCCCACCCCAGATGTTCTCTCATAGTTTGACTACAGTAATCCTTAAACAGGCAGAAGGTTGATGTGTTCTTTTCATCCAACTTCTTCATTCTTGGCTCAAGTTTTATTCATTAATATTAGTCATCAGTTATTAAGAAAAAGATAGTTTCTAAGTGTTTGTTGTTGTTTTTTAACTGAAGTTAATCGGATACCATAGTCTGGTTATATGTGCTGAACTGCAGCTGTCAGTTATTCCTTTTTCTTGAATTCTTGGTTACCATAGCTGGAGCCTTTTTCTATTTCAGTTACTCCTATCAGTCTACGAACTCCAAAGGAAGCTTTAAAATATAACAGAGAAATGGGAGACATATTAAAAGCAGTTCAAGGATTTAGGAAGTTACATGTAAACACACAAGCACAACCAACATGAGTTAACCCAGTCCTGAAGACAGTACTGACTACAGACCAACAGTGTGCTGCATGAGGCTGCACATGGATCACAGGTGAAATGTCACTAAAAAAGCAGAACAATCCAGATTTAAAAATACAATTAATGCTTCTACGTTGATTAACAGGACAGGTAGTATGCACACTGAAGCATATCCCCTCCCCCCTCTCCCCCCTCCATTTGGGTTTTGGGTTGGCATTTTTTAGGGTTTCTTGTCTGGGGGGGAAGTGTTGGGGATTTGGGTGTTTTGTATTTTTTTTTCTTTGTTTTTGTGGTGTTTTATTTTTTTTAATTCACAGATAAGGTGTGCAGTAAAAGTATTTTCTTCTTCAGGCACCATAATAACAGGTTACAAGACTCACTTGCTATTAATTGCTATAGATACTGCCTAAGATATGACGGCAAGTCTACCTGGATTAAAGCTTTTGAAATAATAAAAACGCTATACAATATAAAGACTACAGAGCAAGCTCCAATGACTCTTCTGCAAGCTCCATTCATATTAATTAAATGATACACAGAACTGAATGAAGGTAGTGGATCCTGTTACATGTCACTCTGGGCTTAGCATCTTCTCTGTTTTTATTACCTGCTCCAACAAGTCCCAGGAATGCAAGGATAAGGAGAGGTGATCCACTTGCAAAAACTCCAAAGCCAAATGTGAATAGAGGAGAGAGGAGAACTGTGGCCCAAAAAAGAAAGTTTAGGAGAGTCCATGGTCTCCTAGGAGGTTTAAACTGCTGGCCAGGAAATACACCTTCCTGATTATACATCTCTTGCAAAGCATCCTGGGAGAAAGAAAAGATAGAAGAAAACATGTCTATAATGTTTGCACTAAGCAATCCAAGATTAGTCAATGCCAGGACAATGTCAAGGACAGTATCTGTGGTAAATACTCATCAAGAGTTCACAGCACCCATTTTCATCTGCTGTCATTTATTTGGGCATTTCTGTTGACTGCTGGGGCCATCGTATTAGCCCTTTGAAGGCCACCATCAGAAACCCAAACCGTATCAGCCTTTCCACTACCAAATACTTTCATCTCTTCTCTTGATTGCTTAGGAATTTAGTGCAGTTTCAGGCCAGAGGCTAATTCAGACACTACCTGCCTCTTTGCTGGATGCTTTTCTTTCCAGTTTTACTTCCAAAAAGGTCAGCATGATTTAGCAAAGCACAGCAGAAAAATGCTGTATATACAGCTAGAAAAGCAAGGCAAAGCACGCTAACAAGCAGAGACAGCACTGTGTTAGCCATAACCCCAAGACTTCAACAGAGTAGTTGCATCGTGATCTGAGCCTGCAGAGACATGCAATCATGAAACACAGCATTTAAAGAGCAGCATGCCCACAGTCTTCCTTCCATCTGTAAGAATGTTCTGTAAGGTTCCCAAGCCATTACCAAGGATGGCTCAAGTTTAGCTATTTCTTATTTTTCCCCCGTTTAAGCTGTTTTTCTTTTAGCTTCCCTTATGAAGGGCTGAGAAGTGCAAGGCATTCCTTGCCAGTAACACAGCCTTTTGAGGACATACCCTCTGTGCGGGAAGAGCACTTTAAGAATTCCAGTTACAACATACCGCTACCACCATGTCATGGTTTAGGCCAGGCTGGCCACTAAACAAATGACAGATGCTCTCTTTACCCTCTCTCCCTTCCCAGAAGAGAAGGGAGACAGAATAAGGGAGAGAGACTTAAGGGCTGAGAAGAAACTAAAACTACTTTAATGAAATACTAGTAATAATAAGAAAAGACAACAGCATTAATAAGAAGATAATGAAATAGACACAATATATACAAAACCAGTATCAAGCTCCCAGGACGACAATCACATCACCAGCAGGCACTGGGAAAGTCCCAGACTGGACTCAGCAATGGAAATTAGATTCTGGAACTTGAGTCAGGAATGCGCGGATCAGGTTCAAAGGCAGATAGAGTCCTCCTTGGACACTGGCCATTGAAGAAAGGCTGTCCCCTTTGATCCCTCAGCTTTTATACTGAGCACTATGCAGATGGGATGGAATACCCCGTTGGTCAGGTTTGGGTCACCTGGCCTGTCCGCTCCTCCCCGCAGGTGTGACCCCTCTATGCTTTTCTGCTCCCAACCCTCCAACTTGGTACATAACAAAATTAGCTGACTTTGGTGGTTATAGCAATAAATATAAGCAAGAGCCTCTCTGCATACCATTCCTTAGTATTCACTGTAAACATCAGACCTTATCGCTCTGGAAGCAGACACTGTCTGAAAAATAGGCCATTGATTTCAGGGAGTACAGTTCAGTTAGAAGAGACTTAATTGAAAAGTAAAACTACTGAAAAGAAAATTGGTTCTGTTCTACCTCAAACCAGGACACCATAAGGTCAATATATAAAATACCCACATATGTAAGTAATACCTCCCCGGCAACACTTCACACCAAAGTTCAACGGAGGTACATCCAACACCACCAAGCAACACCAAGCTCTCCACCTGCAAGCGAAGCAGAGCATTCTGCCCAAGGAATGGCACCAGGCAGAATGAATGCTCCATGCTGTGTCTGCTTAGCTCTGCATTTACTGTTTAACAAAGCAGGAGCCAAGCAGAGAAAGACCACCCCTGTAACATACACCTTAATGTCTGCTCCTCCAGCCAGGCAATTTCAGAAGGAAATCTTGCACCCAAGAGCCTTTTCACAAGGTAATTACATGATGGCGTGTCCCTGATAGCAGGAGGTAGGATTCAAGGATCCCAAATTTTATTTTTATTTTAAGCTCTCTAATCCTGTCTTAAACTAACTGACCCACAAGCTAGTTTGATACACCTGCTAATGGGAGGTGTCGGGAGAAGATGACGATAGCTACTGTTCTTTGTAAGATAACTTCTCTCCCCTTAATTGAATTAGAGCTTAAGTATTCAAACAAATTAGGTTAAAATGAAAAAAATGAAACTCAGAACAATCTGCTACCTACAGACGAAGCGTAAGCTTGGAAATGCTGCAGCACAGCTCATTATAGCAGAAGAAAGCCCAAGACAGTTGAAGTTTCTGTGCTCCTCTGTTTTCCCACAAAGATAAGCAACACAAAAATCAAGATACACATTTCAAGTTCAACAATCCACCAGTTAGCGCTGGGCAACGTTAATTACAGTTCTCTCCTCTTCCCCACAGAACTGTTAAATCTGTGGTCAAGAAATTAACCATTTAAAGTAAAAAAATACAATACACTAGGAAAAGCTCTGAGCCATTTGAAGGCATGCTGACCACATCCTACATCAGTCCCTGGCAGCAGATCCCAAGGACTGTCTGTACCGTGTCACACACCACTGCAGAGGTATTACCAGGAGGCAGAAGGAAAGTGACAGTGAAACATGAAAGCAATGGACAATTGCAGCTAAGAGCCGGGCCGGCTGTTCCTGACATAGTTAGCACTCTTCTCGAGTGCCTAAAGACATCCATAGGAAAAGTGGAGCTTTTAGAAATGTATGGCAGAGACCCAATAGCTGAAGAATATAAAAAGACAGTGGATTGCAATTAGTCTTCCGCAACTCAGGCACATCTCTGAATCCCATTGTGCTTCCTGGCAATTTGAGACCTACTCACTAGCCAGCCCTTTGTGGTCAAGAGGCTCTTCTGTACTGCTCTTTCCGGCAGTTTGAGTGATGGCTGCCAAATTATACATAGTATTTTCATCTCTTCTCTCCATCCAGTAAAAGAGCGTGCATTACTCTGTCTTAATACACCACCCCTGTGAAAGTCCCAAAAGAGAGAAAGGAAAGCAAAGCTGTTTACCTTTTCCTGGTAAAGCTTATGAAGCCAGTTTGCAGCTTCCTTTTCATCTTGAGGGATATCTTCCAGAGGAAATCTCCTAGTTTAGTAGAGACATTAAAAAAGGGAAAAAGAAAAAGAATTAAGGGAACATCCAGGTATTTGACTTTAGACCTCTACTAGGGAAGTTCTATTCAATGAAGGCCATAAGCTACAGGTAATACTGTCACTGATGGCAGAGGTCTGAAATGCAGAGAACTGGGACTTAAGTAATACCTGATTTTCCACCTAAACCTCTGATTCCTAAGACAAAAGAAATAGTACAAGCTCCTATCAATTTCAAAGCACATTAGTAAAACAAGCATTTCCCATTCCAACACTGTTCTTCCTTCGCCAGAACCATCACTGGTTGATTCCCAGTGAGCTCAGACTGATGCACCAAGAGCTGGGAAAAGACAAGCAAGTTGCAAACCCCAGGATAACTGTTTGTTACATTTTTTAGTGAAAACCCCATTCTGGAAGGAATGGGAGAGGTGGTTAAAAATTCATTTCGTACCGACTCTAAGGAAAGCATCTCCTACAGCGACTGCACTTCTCTCTCGTTGCCTCTCCAGTGCTACCGTTTGAGGCATGCAGTTCTGGGTGCACACAAAAATTATACCCAGATCCAGCTACTGACCTGACCTCACCGAGAACAGGCACCTTTTAAGAGCCTCTTTCTAGTGGTGAAGAGCCAACCATTTTTCTGCATTCTTTTATTTTCCAAGATAGGCCACTAACACACTCACAAATGTATTATCTCTTTTCTCAGTGACACATATCTCAGTCCTGGATCAATACAGAAAGAAGTTGCTTGGTTTGTAGAGGGCAGACACACACATTACCCTCAGCTTGAACATATTTTGGCAATGCTTGGACTGTATCAGGGCCTTCTTATAGCACGGCAATAAGAACAGAAGGGTGATCTCTGGGAGAGCTCTAGACTCAGCAATCTCAGATACATCTTATTTGCTGCTGTTCAACGAGGAAATATATTTCCACAGAATGAACTAAAGCCTTCCAGTCTGCAGCAGCAGAGGGAAGATATTCTAATACATTTCTACTAATTTCTGCATCCCATAAATGAATTGAACATCGGATTTTACAGATTTACTTTCATTAGCTATAACAGGAGGAACTGCTCAATTAATATAAATAATCCTCAATAAAAGCTCAGTAAAAAGTCGTTTGCTGAAAGCTCTCTGGTAAATTTGTTGCTGTATTACTATCACCACTAGAGGGTACTCACAGCAATAAATAACATTTGGTAATTTAGCTGATAATTTTCTCTGGAGCCAGTCAGGAGAAAGATTGGATCCTCTGCAGAGGGCTAAGCTTCTTACCTCTGCACAGGTAGCTGCGTACGCATACATGAAGAACAAGAGCTTACGTGCTTCCTTTCTCTGAGCTAAGCTATGAGCCTGCTGGCACGTTAAGGGCATGGTCAATTTTCAGCAAAAAGATGTAAAAATAGTTTTCTTATTCTTACAGCTTCTTCTCCAAAACAGAGAAAAAGCTTCAAGTGTAGAAAACCATCTTGAGAATGTTCATTCAGTCCACAAACATATTTTAAATGAAAATTATCTGAACATAGTCATTAGTTTCTATAATAGGGTACAATTAGTAATTTTACCTGGCGACATCATCTTCAACAGAACTTCATGAACCCAAACCTCTTCTAAGGATTATTGAAAACTACATTTCTCTTATTTTCTTCCATCAGCTCACCAATAAATAAAACCAACTTGCATCTCCATTAGCAAGCCATAGGATATTTAACTGAATGCAGTCGCTCCTCAATGTATAATTATAGAGACGTACATCCATGCATGTGTACCCCAGATCTAGCCAGATATGCTACATGCATCTGCCATCAGTATGGAATTGCAGGTGTAGACCATCTGACCAGCTGTTTTGCTAGCTGTAAGTTTTCTGCTCACTTTCTTCATCAGGAATCCGTCTGGCAAGTGTAAGTAGTCAAAATGAAAGCCCTTGCAAATGAGTGACCCCATCTCTCCCCATCACTTCTGCAGCCTTCTTCCCAGCTGAAAGACTGAAATGTTGTGGAAGTTGCAGTATGTGAGAACAGAACTGGAACATGTGTCCTTTCCTTCCCCATTATGGCCGCAGCACTCTGCCTCCCCTGAGACAGCATTTATTCCACAAAACTGTTGCTGCTATACCTTGACACAATGGATAATCATTGTGATTCCCTAAAAAGCCTTTCACCCTCAGAGGCTCTGGCAAGACACACTTACCCTAGAGAAGGACAACGTATAAAGCCAGTGCCACACTTCTGCAATGCAGACCCACGGCCAGAGGGGAAAGGAGTGGGAGAAGTAGAAAGTCTTTTTTTTATTATTATTTCTTTTAAAAAGCAAACATCAACCTCATCACCAGAATGTAGCAATGATTTCCAAGGTGTGGGTGAAGTCCCCACAGAAGCAGAAGTGAACTGTCAAAAGAACTGCAGAAAGAACAACGAGGCCGTTTGTCAGGTGCAAACGTAAAAGGGAAAGGAAGAAATTCAACAGGGAAGGGTTGGTCGTGCTTATGATCACAAGGAAGCCTTTAAAGCAGAAGACAACAAGGAGAAAGCAAGAAAGAAAACACACGTGTGTGTACGTGCTGCATGGAGTCAGGTATTAACAATTACTCTTTCAGGCAAGAGAGTAACGAGGAATGTGAGGAATGTACAACCTCATTCATACGATGTCTGAATTTCAGCATTATTTAACTTCTAATCTGCTAATCAAACCATGTGAGAGAAGGAGAGACACCGCTACATCACAGAGTTTTACACCATTTACTACAAGAGACTACTGACACTGGATGGGCTATTTATATACTATGCATATGCTCGCAGGGGACTGGGAAGGGGGCAGAACAGTTGCATTTTCCGTTCCCATCAAAGAAAGGAAAAATGCAGACTAGTGCCCTTACTGCACAAAACTTGGGAAAACCCGTTAACAGCAACGTGGTCACGCCCATGCTTAAAAAGTCTGCTCAGTGCTCTCTGACTTGCTGGGTGATATCATGGGATCTCACACATGAAAACGAACTAAAGGAAGGTGAAATGGGGAGGTCTTTGTAGCCTGCAGAGAAGCTTGAAGGACAAGGAAAAGGAACTACAGCAAAGAACATTACCCTGTAAAATCTGAATACACTTCAACATGCCAAAGCATGCATCTTAGGGCTCACCCCCACCATTATATGCTCACCTTACACACATATCTGCTTCATATTTCTTTCCATAAAGAATTCCTAATAAAGACGGGTTCTTGTTTCCTCTGAAATTTAGTGTTACATCATACACTGCTGAAACTGTTAAAAAAAAAGAAAATACGGCTGTTATAACAGCAGTTCTAGCAACCACATTGCTGGCATCCTTACATTAGACAGCAACAGGGCCTTGAGCAAGCCTTGCATTAATGATGCCAGGTAGCAGAGTCCTTCACTACTTCGTGTTTACATTTTGTACAGCCACCTGACATTCCCAGCTACACAGCATGTGTGTTATCAAAACACAAGACAACTTGATGAACTAAGCAACAGTGACATATGTGAAAGGTTTATTATTGAAGGCTGGTATCTGAGAGTTATGTGGCACAAATTAATGGCTGACATGCTGAAGGCTTATTACTCCCAACTCACTAATTGTAATGGACGTAATGAATAACAGTGTATACTACTGTATACTGCGCTGCACAGCGTATACTAAATAACACATTACAATTAATGCAAAGAACAAGTAGTAGCTTGCCATTACCTGTTCCCCTGAGACACTGGACAGCAGTGGTGAAACCTTTGGTTCTGGGCAACAGGTGGTATTTCAGTTTAGGCAACCCCTTGGATTCAGCCACCTCCATACTGATACGATGCTTGGTCTCTGTAAAACGAGTTCCTTCACAGTACAGGAGAAACTAGCACAATAAGACAAAAGGCAAAACCAAAGACATCTTGAGATCAAAAGCAACCAAGCAGAATAGTGAAAATTTGTGTAAGATAAACATACATCCATGCATGTGCACACACTTCAATTGTCTCATTTGATCATCAAGTATTAGGCATAAGCATGACCTCACAACTCATTTACAATTATATTTCATTTGAACAACACTGGTACCAAATTTAAGGTGACAAAAAGTCTAAATGGTTATACCTGAAATATTTACCTAAAAAAAGAGAAGTGCCTGAAGGCTTTGGCTTGCTGATGATGGAATTATCCACAAATCAGAAAAAGCAATCCAAATACCAGTACATGACCACTTTAGGAAAAAACACATTAATCACTAGCTACCTCATTTAAAATTTGTTCTGTACAACCAGAATTACTCATCTGAAGACAGACGTGTTTGTCTGAAAGCTTTCCTGATTTTTATTTTTTTCATTTGTATCAGTTGTGCTCATAAAAAATGGTACCTTTCCCTAAAACCTGTACCTTGTTCATCTTGTAAGGCACCAATCTGACTGTGGTATCCTAAGTAACTATTAAAGACTTGAATCCTTCCATACTGACTTCAAGCAGCACAAAACATTGTTCTGTCCTTCTCCAGCCTCTATATTGCCTCTGCTATAGTTGAGAAAGACCAGAAGCAATGCAAAGCCAAGACCAGACAAAGCCCTTCTGAGGGCCCTAAGGTGAATTTCTGTTTATCCCTGGCCTTTTTGAAAGCTGGACATCATTCCCATCGCACTAGCAAGAGAAAACATTGCTGCATTTGAATGCACAAACCTCTGCATCCCTGGCAAGCAACGGAGAGGAAGAGGGGCAGGTTGCTACTACTCTCTCCCAGCAGTATCATGCAATGCTGTAACATTGCAACTCAAAAGAAAGACCTGTGGAATGCATCGCTATACATCTGCTGTTTGTCAGTACTGTGGTCGCTTGACTTTTTCTCTGTAGCGTATCCACACACTGTGCACCACAAAAGGTAAGTTAAATGAATGTTAAAACTGCAAAGCCATAGACACGAGAGTTAGACCTGCCAGAGCACAGTGGGAGAACGGGAGCTGGTCCTGCAATCTTTATGTAGCCCTTGAGGGCATATCCGTTATGAAAATCTGACCAACCACGACCACCAAGTGCGAGGACAGCACAAGGTACAGAGTGTAACACCACAATCTCAACTCCAGTCTGCAAAGCAAGCTCTTTCCTCTGCATCAAATTCTTACCCTCTTCTAGTCAACAGCGCAGTGATCCTTCTGGACCACGTATGCGAGGAAGGTACAAGACTGCGCCGCAGTGCACATGTGAGAAAGACCTCACGAAGGAAGGTTGCGCAGACAATCCTAATTGTGGCATTTAGAATGCACAAAAATTAGGAAATTGATTTACTGGAGTCAATTTTAATCATGATTTAAATTACCAAGCAGGAAGTCTTGATTTAAATAATCAATGGCAACTACGTTTTGCATTTATATTTTCTAGTTGTTTTCCCCAGAGACTAGTCCTTGGTTCTCAATCGTAGAATCATTAAAATGTATAGATTTGCAACCAAAGTACAGTCTTGAGATTTTTTAATTGGTAGGGTTTTTTCTTTTTTCTTTTTTCAACACTAATCAGAAGGATATATTAAATGTAGTTCATATCCATATATTCAAGGAATTAAGTAGTTTAAAATACTTTCTCCAGATTCTTATTTTGTTATATCTTTCTAATGACAGAAAATCACAAATGATGCATTCGCAATGTACTAGTTAAGACTTACTATTTCACTATTCATTTTAACAAGCTGTACTGGATAATATTAAAAAATCACTTAAAATGAACAAAAAGCTTCTTAAAATGTTTTATGAGCCAGATAACTGTACATTACATATGTTGCTATAAAAGCAAACCAGTAAATTTACCAAAACGTTTGCATTCAAAGCTAAAAGAAGGTTAATAGGTTGATTATACTACTGTGTTACTGCAGTAAAATCTAACAACATTGCACATAATGAAACATAGATGTTTCACCCTTGACTTCAAAAAATGTCAAAATAAAAAGGAAAAGCATAATTGCAAAAGCAGATGTAAGCTTGCCATATATTCTCATAGAGGCTTTTTGGGAAACCTGTCATTTCACAGATCAATGAACATACTAACAAGAACTTCCTATGGAAGTCCATGGTCTGTGCATAGCCCCCAAATTCACTCACTTCTCCAGAAAAGTCTTTTTTCTTTATGTGTCTTTTTAGCCTACCTCAGAAAACATAGCTGTAGGTTATACAGACTTAGTAATCAAATATGGGCTTTTGTTTTTTTTTTTTTAAGGTAAAAACAAGTTCAAAATTAACTAGTGTAACACAAGCCTGATTTGTAAATTACCATCAAGCTTCTAATCATCTATGCAAGCTTCTGAACTGTTTCCCAGATGACTTCCCTTACCAACAGGCAAACAGAGCAACACTTTACCAGCATATCCCAAAAGACCTCCAGAAATAGGGCACAGGTTTTCCTTGACAACACCTGAAGATAAGCAGACCTTCTCCTGATATATAAGGCTACAGTACCACATGAGTATCTCTGTCACCATTTCACTTCTAGCAGTCAATACTAGAGGAGGAACTCCACACTTACCCACATATATTCAGGATAATCAGCCAAACGTTTTAATCCTTCAATAACCGTATCCCTATCCTCTTCCCATTTCCTTTTGCAGAAAACAATCTCGAGGAAGTACCACGTCCAGCCAATTAGGGGCACATATAGTAGCTCTCTCTTAGCAAGAACTTTGGAACTCTTGGAAAAAAACAAAAATAACAATCCAAAAATGTCATTTGCTGATTTGTACAATAAGATTAAATAAAGGCATTAAATTTAAGATGATGAAGACCTGATGGAGTTATATCTGGAAAATCAAATGCAAAGAAACTATATGTGCATGGGTTTTAAATAGACCCACCCTCAAGATGAAGGGAAAGCTCGTGGCCCCACGTACCCCTAGCACTCCGAAGCGCTCTGTCATAGTCCAGCCGCACAAGAAGTCGATTTCAAAGTTGTGATTCAAGATGATGATGACATGTTCTTTCCCAAAGGTGTTCACCGTGGCCTCGTCTGAGAACAAGGTGCACTCTGTGCCTGACCACCATTCCAGCAGCATTACCAACTCTGACAAACACCATGAAGATGGAGAGAGGAGTTAGGGGTGCTGCTTACAAAAAGCATTTAGCATTTCATCTCCAGCGCCATTCAGTGCCTAGTCTCTTCTGACTCCCAACAACACTATCGCCTTTTCAATCCAACTCAATAGAGATGAAATCAGAGCTTAGACAGGTATAGACCAAATAACATCAACATCCTTCAAGCAGTACTTAGGGCACTAGATATATGCATTATGCATAATTTAAGAAGATTTTAATGGTGACAAGTTTGGGCACTGTATAGTGAATGTGAAATTTCATGACCACTGGAAAAAAAACCCCAAACTTTGTGCCTGAAAACAGACAGTTGAGCCATTGATTGCTCCTCTAAATGAGTAGAGTTTCTCCCAGGTGGAATACAAATTATGCATAGATGCAGCCTAATGCTTTTTACTCAACATGAAACAAGCTTTATGGAGGTAAACAGACCAATAAAGGGCTTTTAAAGGGATACAGTGCTATAGGTTTTCTGCAAGAGATTTTAATATTACAACACAGGACTCTAATCATTCTGTGTTATGGTCATCAACACAGAGTCAAAAGCACCAGAGAATCGAGCAAATTTATCAAAATACCTGGGCAAACCCAGGAATGGTAAATCATTTCTCTCTTTTATTGCAAAAGAAAGAGTGAACCCGTTCTCCTGTCTTCAGCTTTTCAATATCTCAGTGTCTCTCTTACTCCAGCCTGAACATTTCCTTCATCACCCACTCTTCTTATTTTCCCCCTCCCCTTTTTTCATCTTATAAAAACCTTTCCACTTAAATTCAGCATTTACTGAGTGGAGTTGCTATCATTAGCCTATTTCTCTCATTTCAGTACAACCAAGCAGATGGAAGGCATTGCTTGTATCATGGGACAACTATAAAAAAGTATGAGAACAGTTCATTCTCCCAGTAGGAAGATTTGCTTCCACGCAAACTCTAGTCATTTGTATTTTCTCATTTCAATGAGATACGGATGCAATCAAAATTTGGTTGTACAAACATGGCAGTTAAAAACTCCACCTCTTCCCACATTACTACGACAAACTTGCAGGGTCAAAACCGGAACCCTTCTTGCTCTGGTTAACCTGGCACAGTAAAAAGGGAAAGATGACAGCAAGCTTGTCCTCAGTTGAGACCTATGCTCTTCCAAGCAGGTAGCCAGGAAAATGGAGTAGTAATACCAAACACAGTGCGGTACTCAGTGATTTTCTCTTTCCATTGCTTTCTGCGTTCTAAGGAGGAACATCTCCAGTACCTGCTAGAGTTGCTGCATCTCCTTATCAAAAATAAAATAAAATGGGTGTGTTTCTTCTTCAAAATCAGAAAAAATTCCGCCAAGGAAAGTGTGGATAATTTCTTGCAGACCGTTTCTTGTACCATTCACTTTAAAATAGTGGAGGAAGCTTTGCTGAGAGATTTGCCAGAGTTCATACTGAGAGAGGAGGGTTGATGAGCCAGAGAATTAATACAAGGAAACAGATTGTCTTTTACAAGTGCACTGATAAATGATGTAATTATAACTGGGAGTGGGCTCATTTCCTTTTTTTTTTTTTTTTTTTTTTGTGTGTGGGTTACAGCTATTTTGCGTGGCACCAATCCTGTTGGTGCTTCAGCAAGCCCATCCTTCTGAACGAAGGGAGGACTGTAACACTAGTGATACTTGGGATACTTCCTATAGAGGACAAGCAATACCTCGCTACAACAAACCCCCGCCTGCAGCCGGGGCTCCCACACGCCAAAGCAGGCGGGCATACAGCCGCGCAAGCCACCCAGAAACCAAGCAAACGAGGCACAGTGCTCCTCTCAGTTTAAAGTACTAACATTTGAGAGAGTATTTTTGCAACCAGACTAAACCAAATGTGCCACGCTCTCCAAACTCATGAGTCATCTGAACGGAGGTGATGTAGGAGAGCTTGAAGTATAGACTACCCGTCATGAATTACATGCACTGCAAAGGGTTTACGTGGAAGCCAGAGCCCAAAAGACCTTTTTTCCCCAAACGTCTGCCACAAACACTGGATAGAGTCTATCTCCTTCTCCTTCTGAAGCTGTGCTTTATGTATTTGAGAAGAGATAGAGTAAGAAGAAAGCCTGGTGTTCAGTGGGCTAGAGTACATAGCCATACCCACAATCACCTGTGTATGTACCCCTGCACATCGATCCTCTGCCAGACAGGCAAAGCAGCTTTGTTACAGACAACTCTGACATGAACACCCTCTGCCTAAAACGACACAGCTGGGAGTGAGCGAGCAAAATGCATCATTCCGAACAGACCAGCAACCTACAGGTTCATTGCCAAAAGGCTTCCTCGTAACGAAATGTATTTCATTATGAATGGCAACATTTGAACTGCTGCATTTACAAGGCTTACTTAATTCATTATAAATCACAACTGACGTGCATATTCTGTCAGCTCTTCCATTATAGGCCATCAGCACTCTGCAATCCCGTATAACATTTACGTTAATTTTCATAGTTTAATTTCTCAATCATTTAATTTATAATAGGCTGTACGTGAGGAGTTATCCTAGGTACAACCCAATTATCTACTCAGCTTCTCCAAACTTTTTTGAACAATAGTGTAGGTAATTTCCAGTGTATGCAAGATATAAGATAACAGCATTTAAAGCATGATTTTTCCACGCACAATGCTGACTCGTAGAAAGGAAGGGTCTGAACCTACAAGTCTTACAGGCACAAGCAGCTCATACCCTCAGAAAAGCCAGACTATCAGTGCAACAACAGTTTTCAAGATGAGATCAGATTCTAGATTACTAAAAACATATTAAGAAATTCTTACAAGCAAATAAAAAAAAATTCCCATATACTCTCACTCCCCTCCAACCAAGCTAATTTTGAAATTTCTATCTATAAGTTCTTCTATTACAATACCTTTTCTCCTGACAGTTTGCCTGCCATTCTATTTAATGTCCTTTCTCCTGTGCTTCTCAGACAACATTCTTAATAGGTAGGACAAAAAGCACAGGAAGGACAAAGACAACAAGCTTAAAAAGAAACTGAACTAGACACTTTGGAGAGTTTTTGTTGGTAGTACTTCACATCGATGATTTAAGAAATGTGGGTGCCTGTCAGTAGACCGCTCAACTGTAAGTACTCATTTAGGTGACTCATCTACCCGAAGTGGGAGTTGGATGCTGAGCTGAGCACTAAGGTAAGTGGCCGTGCATACTGGGAGGGGATGGAGAACGGAAACAAATTAGATGATTCACTGCTGAAACAGGAGGTGACATTTGGACTAAGGAGCCTTCTAAACATTCATTTCAGAAATCTAATCCCCTGTTAAGCTGTACAAGGAGAAAAAGAAAGCCATCCACAGGGAAGATTGAAGTTTTGCAAAGGTCTGAAAGAGCAGAGCAAAGCAGCTGCACTCACTGTAAAGCTGTCCTGCGGGCAGAAGAAGAAAAGAGTGACAAATTGCTCACAAGAGGAGACACTGGCGTCACAGATGGACACTGTAGAGTGTTAAGAGGACTCTGAAGATGTCACACAGTTCAGCTATAGAGTCATCTGCACTAGATACTTTAAGACAGACATCTTTCTCTGCAGATCACACAGTCAACTTGGGCTCCTAAGTCAGTGGTCAATATTGTACATAAGCTCAATACCTGAAGCAGTCTCTGTGAATTTCTCCTTCCCCGTCACTTAGCACAGGCTCTGATGCTGGATTAAGGTGGTATTGAGACACAATCAGCAATTCCTACCAGTCAAGATAGGGCTGGGGCAGCAGGGGGGGGAGCTTTACTTCTCACTTTTTTGAATAACAGAGTGACAGTATGTATCAGTCCCTTGACTTTTGTACATTTTCCCAATATTTCAGAAAAGATGGCTGCTTTGAACTGCTCTGAAAGAGTCTACATCTAACATACCACTTCTCTTTCTCTCTCTCTCATGTCTGTGTGTGTATACATATATGTGTGTATATATATATATTTTCTTAAATTAACAAAAGGAGAAACAAAACCCATTCCCTTCCCCACCCCCAGCTTTCACATCCCCTTCAAGCATACTCACGGCTCCATAGCGAGTAGGCAAGGCGACAGTTTACTCGGCGATAAAACTGCTTGTTTATGGGCCAGAGGACTAGCGTGCATAGTTGAATGAAGTTAATGATCAGTCCACTCACAACAAAGACGAACCCAATGAGGAGGTGAACTATGAACTGGGTCTTCAGAAAGGCAATGAAGCCCATGATAACCACTCAGAAGCGCGCGCAAGGGCCGTCACTTAGAATAATTGTCCTGAAAGAGAAAGAAAAGAGTCAAATGGAGACTGGATTTACAAGCCCTGAGGAAGGGCAAAGCGAGAGCCCTGAAACAGTCCATGCAACTTCAGCAACAGAAACCCAATCCAATAAATGCTCTGCTATCCGAGTCTGCTTCATTCAGGTCTTCACACAATAAACTGTTAATGGTGCAAATCACTTCCAAAAATAGTAAGGAATCCTTATTTACAATTTACAGCCCACTAAGATTATTGCGTGCTGAAGATGAATCTCACACCTCTTTTCAAACAAAGATTGTATAATTGGACTTAATGCTGGGAGCAACACAGAGCCCCGCACTCAAAGTGAAGCAGTTGAGTCCCGATTGGTAAACAAGCTACGCTGTGACTGCTGTACCTTCAGGGGTTGCTGTCCCTGAACTGCAACAGGAGCCTCAGCCCCCCGCACCCAATAAATGGCATGCCCAGCCTCTGGAGCTGTGTAAACGAACTGATGCCTTCCTGGCCTGCCTTCAAAGCCAGCGCTCTGTACACACTTCTCCTGATCAAGCACCGCGTGAGGGCTGCCGGGGGCTACAGAGACTTTGTTATACGTTTGCTTTGACTAGAATAGTACAGCAGCCCATCTGGGGAGCAGGCTCTTCATCCCACAGTGGATTTCAGGATGAAAAGAGCAGGGCTGGTCACACAGAGTGTCAGTCTGGCAAACACTAAGGGATGGAAATGGAAATTAGGTATTCCCACAACCAAAACTCCTGCTGGAGCAAGTTTAATAACTTCTCACTTTGTCAAGCCACAGTTCCATGATCAAATATACCAGTTAGTGTGGGGGGAAAAAGTAAAATAATGGAAAAACCTTAGGCTATGTGGCTGTACAAACTTGATCTGGAAAGGGCTTTGGCGCAGAATCTTGATTCCACTGAATCAGCCATAGCACTTAATTCTGAGCACATGCCATATTTATACCAGGTGCAGAAAGATGAGCGATATCTGAACCAGCAGAAAGTCACAGTAGCTTAGACAGACAAGTTTGATCCAATACAAATCCTGCCAGTACAAAGTTAACCCAGTAAAATGTACTTACCAAGCCACCAGATTGCAAACCCTGCATCATCTGGCACTGGCCTTTTTGATCCGCTGGGTACTAGAAGCCCTACAACTACACCAACCAGGCTGTCAAACCAGAACCTCAATGTCTCAGCCCAAAAAATAAAAGCATGACCCTGATTTTCTGCCACAGCCAAAGCTTGCTGACAATATTCATGTTCAGCTTTTGCAAGTGCTGCAAATGACCAGACCCACCAGTAGATGGTAACAAATACTCCTAACAAGCCAAGAATCTGAAGGTGATGCAGAAGCTCCAGATGCCCGAAAATAAAGTACCTGCCAGCTGTGAGGAACCAAACCATTTTCATTTCCCACCTGCTTACAGTATGGTGCGATTTATAACACTCAACAGCAATTTTACTAGTGAAAGCTTGTTTTCTACCGTCTCTTCTACAAATCAGGTACTGCCTTTCAAGGCACAGAGTGTCTAGCTTCTGCACAATTAAAATCTATTTGTATCATTAGTAATTTACCTACTTCAGAAGCACATTACAGAGGAAAAAAAAAAAGTCTGTTTCAATACTGCCACTATTGTGTCTACCACTGAAAACAAAGCAAAGCAAGCTGAATAAGCCGATATTGAAGCTTATGATGAATAATCTAAATTCACCCATTGTTTTCCTGTAAGAACGGAAGAAACATTTCTTCCACTAGTAAATTACTTTAAGAACAGCTGTTGGAAAGGAGAGACTTGTGTTTAAAAAGAAACAATTGGTACCCATCTTCCTCTCCCCCTCCCAAAGGGTTGCATGTTACAGTGGTCTCATACAGCCAAAACACTGCACCAACATTCCCAGGTACACGAGATAGCCATGGTACTCGGTGCTTGACTCTCTAACATAGCAATGGGCTCATTTATCTTTTCCACTGGCATGTTCTTTAAGTCCTTGTATTAATTACCACCAAACACGAAACACCAAGTTCTTAACTTTCAAGATCAGCCATTCTCTTCATCTGGTATCTCTCAAAAAACAGTTCAAACAAAACTGAAGAGAACAATCCCTTTTCACCCTCTCCCCACACAACTATTTCTTGAATCCCTACTTGCCTTCCATGCAGCCATGTGCAGGCATCTTTGCTGATGACTGTCTATATCGGACTCATTAGCCTAGTACTTAATGCCTTTCAACGCATAGCTGGGCCCGTTCTGGACAAGGGCCCAAAGGACATAAAAGGCAGGAGGAAGAATGGAAACGGCAAGTATTAGCCTCAAATAAAATGGTTTGGTTCCACTTCCACAGCCTCTTGGCTTTGAGCATCGAGCACTCTGGTGTTTCTCCCTTACATTAAGGACTTCGCTGTATTACGGACCCAGGTGGCCACATCCCTTTTCACCAGGCAGAAAGCTGGAGACACTGCAGCATGTGGCTTCTCCCGCTTCATTATGTGTGGAAAACAGGATTTATCACTCATGCGCCGACGCTGTGGCCCGGACACTGGGCACTGTCTCGCTCTGGCAGGACTCCAGAGCTGCATGGCTCTGGCTGGCGACACGGCACAGCCACCCCATGTGCCTGCACCTGGGCTCACTGCACCCCTGGGCATCTGGGGACCACAAGTCTTGCCAGTATTCCTACAGGGTAAAGAGAACAGCAGCCAAAGCATAGCTGGCTCCCCTCTGGCACTTTTTGAGGGCAGCATTTGCCCAATTGCTCCAAAAAGCACAGCTGGTTTACTTGTACTTCCTCTTAAAATGGACAGGGATCAACTAAAAAACGGGTTCATCTGGTTGTCTGATCCTTCCGGTTTCAATGCTGGATACAGAACCTGCACGTGTCCCTTTTGCCAATCCCTCACTTGATGGTATTTGACTTTTAAGATAATTAGATAAGCGTGGTCAGCAGCTGTTTTGTTGGACCCCACGGTCCGGGTTGGGGAGAGGACGGGGAAGTCAGTATTTGCTGGAATGAGAAAGCAACACTTCTTCATCTGACTCATATATTAAGATGAGCTAAGTGAAGCGTCTAGAAAGTAAACATCTGCCCTAGCTTAAGACAGCAAGTCTCAGCACTATTCATTTTTTTTCTTTTTTAAAGTATACCCATATCATGTGCATATTCAAAGACCTGCTGGTTAAAATTCTTTTTTCTCCCTTCTTTTCCTAACACACCTTGTAACTTCACAACATTGATCTTTCATCACAAAACTTCCACTTCCTCCTGTGCAGCCACACTGAGAACTGCGGGCAGCTCTACCCCCCTCCCTGCTTTCACATCCCCACCAAGTGCCTGCTCTCCACAGCCACGCTGCAGGACAGCACTAATGGAAAAGCCCAGCTCAAACCAAAGGGCACCCTTCCATTGCCTTTTAGTGCCTTATTTTGCAGGGTCATTTGACTTTCATGAAGTCAAAGATCAATCCTATGGGGAGCGGTCTCTATCTCCTCTGATGCGAAAGTTCTTAAATGCTTTGCATCCTTCTGGGCTCCCTCCTTTATTTATATACCTCTCAAGTAAAGGACAAGGAGGCAGATGTCCTACAGATTTCTTGGGTACAGAGTTGTGTCACGAGGCTCCACGTTAACACGGATTCTCTGGTATCTAAAAGATACTACGCGCCTCTCAATAGAAGGAGTAACACCACCTTTTTCCTTTACCCAGCTTTCTACATTCATGAAAGTCCTAAAGATTAAACTGCTTTGAGGCTTCTACCTCTCTGCTAAATGCTGCTGAAATGTGCCACCAAGTTCAAAAGCCATTAGAAGGGAGAATGACAGAGACAGCGTGATTGAATCAGCCTCGTTTCATTAAGAAATCAGGTGAAAAAACACAGATGCACAAAGTGCACTAAGCGTGTTACAGCCATTTCATGAAACATGTAGTTATTTATGAACTCAAAATTAAAAATTAAGCCATTAATCATTCTATAATGTAGTATTTCCAGTTCGAACTCCAGGTTTTAATTAGTTTATTGCTGTCATGTGTGTACTATTCCTCTGAAGTTCATGAGCTTTGCATGAATATGAGCATGAAATTAGAAATTGGTCCACTGATTCTAATATTCCAACCCAGTGAGAATTAACGTGCTCCACAACAAAAACTGTGGCTGCCAGTACTTACATCTTCAGCCTTTTGCCTTCAGTTTTTCTGAGCGTGCTCTGTTCCCATTTTCCAGCTGCATCTGCTCTACTGTACCATATTTATCTCCACTCAGAAAACTAATTACAATCATCTCTTGATCTGAATGTGTTGCCCCCACCCTGAATTCTGGTATTTTACCTACCTCAAAACATTTTTGCTACTTGGGGAATTGGGTGAGACCCTTATGATACTCAATTCTACCATTTGCTCTCATATTTTAAAATGTTGTATTTTTCAGATTTGGCTTGTTAAGCTTCCTTGATCTATATAAACTTGACAAACCCTGCCTATGAAGAAAGGCTAATAATGCTGCAGGTTAAAAACAGTACTAAGAGGCATTTTGTTGGCCAACCTCATCAAGAGTTCCCCCACCATTTTTCAGAATTCTACAAACTCTGCTCATTGAAAACACATAAGGAAAATTAAAAACTATTTTTTATCCAAAGTGAGAACTATCTGTTCCATGAGCTGCTTCATGTGTACAAGGTGGACAGGTACAAACAGCAACAGTTAGGGGATGAAGAAAACGCCTCTCCTGTCAGTATACTTTCTACCCACCAGATTTCTCTGACGACCCATCTCAGGCTACTTCTCTTTTAAAACCAGCTATGAAAATCACTAGCATAAGCATCTTTTCCCTCACCTCCCCTTGCAAGATCAAAAAACCCAAGATACTAATCAGCTACCCAACAGCTGAGGCATAGATGTGAGGGAAAGCTTTCCATACCATTGACGATATCTGTTCGGTGGATAAATAAAAATACAGGTCCCAGTCTGGTCATTCTTGCATCCCTCAGTACTACATTGCCACAGGGGCAGCAGGTTATTTT